AGTCTGTAGGGTCCCCCATTTTTGTTTGGTAGATAACAAGGCCTGGGACAGATGAGGGCGACTATGCTCAACTCTCCGAAGCTCTGTCAAGTGCATGTTGAGGACACCATTTAGCTGGTAATCGCTCCACAAGACATAAGTAGCGCCAGGTACGCCAGCGTACTGGTGTGACCATGCGTTTGCGCAATCCTGTTCAGCCGACGTTTGTGCAACCGTATTCAGCGGAACTCTGTCCAAGGGAGCCATGCTGTCAGAAGTGCTCAATGTTTTACTATTTGATCTGTGTAGAAATTTTTGATTCAAGAGGCGCCAAAACCTTCACGTACGTGAGTTAGACCCAGACTTGCACTGTGCCTGAATTTACCGGTGAGCAACGAACATTCTCCCAAAATTTCAGCCTTCTACCTTTTGTGGTTCCTGAGTTGACAAAATGCACTCGCACAGACATGTGCGCAAACACACATACTTTACAGACATGCAAAAAAACAAGCCCATGACAATATGCGTTTTGTGAAGCTGCTGCATAGCACGAAACGCATAAAAACGAACGTCAAGAGAGCCAGCAGGTTCACCACCAGGCAAAACAGCATTGTTCAAAGCAGTTGGAGAAGCTACCTGCCACACAGTGGGAACGAACCGGGACTGCACAAATTTACAATGTGCATTTCGTTACCTAAAGCCTAAAACTGAAAAAGCCTCTCACTGACGACGTCCAGTTAAGGTTTCTGAGCAGAATGCATGCAACCCTGTGGAACTTTACATTTCAGTTTTGATTCACTTCCTACTTGAGCCTCACCCTCTTTTTTAGTACATCACTAGTTAGCTTTGTTATCATTAAAGCTTAGTCAACTTATCACATAAAGATTTTTAGCTGTTCTATTTTCTCAAAGATGCGATATAATGAAAAGGCAGCTGACCGAAACAACAAAAGTTCATGTCTCAAAGCCCACCATCTCCAAATTATGCATTAAAATAAGGTCCTCCCAAGCGAAGAATAAGAAAGTAATAGCAATGAGGGTAAATGAAATACAGCTTACCTCCATATCCACCTGTGGGGCATTCACACGTCTTCAAGAAGCGAATAATACTGAAAAGTAGCTCCCTGGTAATGAACACATCGGAAACCTATTGCGTTAAATAAACAATATTCATTATCTATGAGAAGAGGAAGCACTCAGAGGTAATTCGAGGAATACTAAGTAACAAGACCAACCACCGGGTCGGAAGATTGCCGAATGTTTCCTTTTTTCCCAGGATTGCTTAGAAACAAAGAACGATTGACGGCTGTTCTACCCAACCCCTCCCCTTCTCCTGCTCTCCCTCTCCGCCCATCTCTCCAGCAATATGTTAATAACGTTGTGCACACTAATTTCGTAGATATTTTAAACAAAAAATCAAATAAAAATACATCTCAAAGATGGAGGAAGAACATGCCTTGAAGTTAGAGTTTCATCATAAGATGCTTCCAGCAATTTGAGGCCATTCATTCCCCAGTAGCAAAACCACGGCCGTGAAGCATCAAGATGCTAAAACGGGGCAACATCAAAGATAAACGAAAATATTCGGAGCAAACACAATGCTTAAAAAAGCTATTAATTCGAAGTTCGGTTTTCAATCTATAAACTGAAGAAAGCTTCCAGTTAATTTGACTAGCAATGTTGCTTAGCATGGTGGACAGCCTGCTGATATCTGTTTTGTTTCCAGAAATATCAGCACCAGCAAAAATCCACTGCAAGACTCTCGTCGAGAAGCCCTATCCTTGTTTCAGAGCTCACTCTTCTCAGACCAAAACAAGGTATCTTATCAAAAATGGGAACAAATAATGCATTCAGTGTAATAAAATAATCAAGATCTGTGAGACTAATCAGAACATGAACTATCATGTCACGGGGTTTCGCAAAGAGGAAAATTAAAATTTGAGAAAATATTTGCGAAACGTTCCCATGCTAATATATTTTTAAATTTTTCTTCAGTTTATGCGAAAATTGTATATAACGTTTACTGGCACGCGGATCTTCTCCGCTGACGACAATTTTGTATTTTTCATTTTTTTGTTTTGTTAATGTAGAATGGGCTCGCTCTTCCCATATTCACTCTTTACGAGAGAAGGAGGAGACACTCGAAAAGTAGCCCGAGTGGTGGCAAATGTCAGGAGCAGCCATCCGCTTGTAAGGCTATCGAAGACTGCCTCTGTCGAGGGTTGCTTACAAGCAAGATTATGCTGAGTCTGACTCACTGGCACATGCCAGTAATAATTTACCAGCGAAACGAGCAAAGAAATCATAGAGAGACTGACCGTTCCACCGAAGCAACTAATCCATCAATGATTCATTTATTTGTTGAAAGAAAGAAAGCAGTACTACTTCGCATAGGCCACAAGCTCGCCGTAAAATAATTCCGGATAAAATTAGCAAAATTTTTACCGAGCACGACTTGCCCAGCTGCTTCAGATGTCGACAAAGATATCGGCTGTGAAGAACGCGACGCAACACTGGCGCATTATCTGCGCCATCATCCACACCGTCCAAATAACCTAAGACAAATTTCTGCGCTTCATCTCTCACCAATTCTTCGACTCGTTTCTGAAAGCAACTGCTTCGGATGGCACGCACACATGACATATTTTATGAGTAAATGGTCGGACTGAACAAACCGGAAACTACTGGTCTGAGGCACCGCGAATTGCCAGTATTATTCTCGATGTGACAAAAACTAGCTTATGCTTACTTCAGATAGGCATTGAAGAGATATTAAATGATAGAAATTTGCAAAGAAATACCGCTCATGTGATTTAAGCAATCCACCAGAAAACTCTTTTAACCAAAAAAACCCCGGCCTGAAGCGATAATATCTTTGCCTCCAAAACCATGACTATGCAGAGTTGATACACAAACGCAGGTATAACTGGAATATTTGAAAAAGTTGTAATTCGATCTGGCTCTTCAGCTATGCAGCTAACTCTGGCCGGATGGTCAAGTTACTGGCGATACTGAAGTCTCGTCGATGGGATTAACTGTTTTAAAGATTCTCTCTCCAGAATTTCTTTGCATGGCTTTAGACGTGGTGTGTACTGAGTTTTTTAACCTCATCATCCCAAACGCTCATACTCCCGGGCGGCAAACAGACTACGAAGAACGCAAACAGACTACGTACCGCAAGCCGTACAAAATTTTTAAAACAGTAACTAATGTTGTGAGATGAAATGCAAACAATCAACGTGCGTGTATGTGTGTGTGTATGGAGCAAAATGCACAGTGAAAATCAACTCGTAAATCTCGTATTATTCAATGACTCCGGTAAGGGTCTACATAAGCGAAAAGAGATTTCACTGCCAGCTGTACTTTACCTGTTCGGTGCTGCTGTAAGTGAACATGCCACCATCATCAAACGCGTATTTCTCATCGAACGCGTTAAATTTATACATCACTTTCGACTCGCCCATTTGTGGTAAGCAGCAGCAACAGCAGTTACCGGCACATGGGGGATCAGCAATTCTCTGTGATTTTTCACTGATCGCCCCAGAAATCCATCAAAATTGCGTTAAGGCTTAACAGGAGCACGCCAATCCCTGAAGAAGAATGCATTTGTGAAATTCTGAAAAAAGGAATTTGCATTGAAAACTCTACAAGAACCACAGTTCCGCGTCTACTTATCCTAATGCGCTGCGCATTTACACTTAGAGCTTATCCTTGTGGAGAGGTACGGAGATATTTGCCCATCTCAGGCCGACAATGAGACGAGAGGAACTGCTTAAAGGGCTGTGCTGAACTCAAGCGACAAGAGAGACCCAAAACAGAAGGAGCTGCCAAGCCTTTGGACAAAAAAAAAGTGCTGCCGTTGTTCTGCAGAAAACGGAAGGAAAAAGAGTGTCTTCTGTAAGAGGTGGACGAGGAGCACGAGGTAGAATAGTTCATATCCGGGGGAAGGCAGCTAATGCAAATCCCACTGCTTCCTGGGACGTTTCATGGAGGGTTAAACTAAGCACAGGCCAGAAACTACAAATCGCCTCCCAGTGAACCCTGCTTGCCTCGGCTTCCTCAATGTGATTTCCCGTTCAGTGGCGAATGTAACACAGCAGCAACTAATCCACTCCGCCGTGCAGAAGCTCGAGAATGCAACTGCGCCATTGGGGCAATCAACTCCTCATTCATTCGTTTCGATGATAAATTAATGAGGTACCGCTTTCCAGAAAATCAAAACCTCCATCAGCTTGCTTGCAAACAGCTTGTTATGCGTTTTGTGCTGTGTAACAGCGTTACAAAACGCATATTGTCACGGGATTGTCTGTGTGTGTCCCACATTTTGTCCCGCACTTTCAACTCGGGAACCACAAAAGCTAGGCGGCTGAAATTTTCGTATAGTGTTCCCCGCCAATGGGTGACGCGGCAAATTTAAAGTCAGCCTTCCCGTACCCGCGGGTAACTCGTACGGCCCCATGAAAGTTTTTTACGTGTAAGTCAATATCTCAGGGCCCACGGAGTCTAAGAGGCTGAAATTTTAGGGTAATGACCCCTTGCCCACGCTCAACCTTGCCCATTTAAATCCAGCCTTCCCGCGCTCTCGGGTGTCACCTACGGGCTAGTGAAAGTTTTTACGGGCAAATTATTATCTCGGGAACCACGGGGTCTAGGAAACTGAAATTTTACGGTAATAACTCCCTGCCCACGCTCAACCTTCCCTATTCAAATTCAGCGTTTCCTCGCTGTTGAGTACCACCTACGGCCTCGTGAGAATTTTGGGCGACTAAACTATTAACTAGGGAATCACGGAAAGATATTCACCCTTCAAGGTTTCGAATTCAGCTTTCATGTGCTGGTGCGTGAAACTTTTAACTATTTTCCAATTACTCCTTCAAGGTTTCGAAATCAGCTTTCATACGCTGGTGCGTGAAATTTTTAACTGTTTTTCAATGTTAGAACTATTTTTGCATAGACTAAAGTACAAAGCAGTGAAAATCATTAATAGGCAATCGTTCGATGGGTATTTTTGCATAGACTAAAGTATACAAAGAGTGAAAATCATTAATAGGCAATCGTTCGATGGGCTGAATTGCACAAAACGCATGATCGCACCGGTCAGTCTAGCGCGCGTTGCTGTTTATTTTCAAACTGAGCCAATGGATCCCAAACAGAAGGCTATCGACAGACCTGCCGGTGGCTGGCTAGTTGCTACTGACAAATGGTTCAGTTCGAGCTACTTGCCTCCACGTCCCATGAACAGTGCCATTCTTCGGTGGAGTTGCCATTCCTTTGCTTTCTTCTTCAGACGCGCATCGTTTTAACGCTATACTGACATTGGGTAGGGGTTCCGAGTATTTGCACGGCGCGTAGAAATATTTCTCAAATTCTACGGGAAAAGTAATGAACGAGCGATCCAGTGATTTGGGGACACGGCTCAGAGCCTTTTTCATTTCGACAATAAATGCACGGACGGAGCAAAATTCAGCTTCTTCCCGTGGGACTCAGCAGCGAAGAAAGCCCAGCTGGGCACGAAAATTTGCGCTGTTTGTGCACATGCTAAGAACCACAGCGAACGATGAGAGATTTTAATAACAATTTGCAACGAGAAATTAACAAAAGCGCATCATTTCTTTCCTGCCGAAACTTTGGTCTTCTTCGTTCCACGTACTTTCTTCTGCCTATTTTTGCGCTCCTTTCGCTGCTTACGGCCTGACTTCTCCGGTTTCGTGCCCGATTGCTGCAAATTTGGAATTTACAGACTGCACGACTTTGTAGAAACAATCATACATCACTGTCTATCCCCTCAAACCACCAGTACCACTCATCCACTGACAAGAATTCTCTGAAAATTGCTTCGAAAAACAAACCGAGTGTGCTTTTTCCCCCTCCGCATGCAATGCTAACTTAAAATTCTTTAAGCAACTAGTTCCCTCACTAACAACTCTGAAAAGGGGCTACTCCACCAGACTCGTTTCACTCGTGCAGCAAATTATACGCGGACATTTA